CCTGCCCCGGCGTGGGGCGGACCTGCGGGAGCGAAGGGAGGCCCCGCCCATGCGGAGCTGGGCCTGGGTGCTAAGGGTGGGGCTGAGGACCAGCACCCAAGGGGTGGAGGCCTGGTGGATTTAATGCCTGTGCTTCAGTTGGCCAGCCGGAAGTTTCGATTTTCAGTTGAGAAGAGCCAGCTTGTTCTATCCTGGTCTGGCCTGCGAGACTCAGCATTCAGCACTCTCTCCCCTTTCCTCTTGTTCGGCATTTCTCTCCACATTCCATCTCTCCCTCTTCCTCTCCTGGTTTGTGTTTCCTTCCCTCCAACCCCTTTTTTCTGTGCCCCATGAAAAAGCCTTAAAGGTTTTAAAGTGCAGAAGGGAAAAACTTTCTATGACAGCAACCACAGTGCTACCCATCTGACACTTGTCAAGTATTGACTCTCAATACAGCAGCCCTTGGTAGGTATGTATTCTTACTCATTTGGACAGGCTGTAGGTGTGGTGTCTTGGACTCTGGAACCTTGGACTCTGGAATCTTAGCTCTGCATCCTACTAGCTGTGTGTCCTTGGGCAAGTCACTCAACCTCTCGGTGTCTTAGTTGCTTTATCTATAAGGTGGAGGTAATAGTTTCTTCCTCCTGGGGTTGTTGTAAGGATTAAATGAACAATGACTGGTACAGGCAAGCACTGTATATGCGTTAGCTATGATTAGATGTTATTTTACAAAAGAAGAAACCAAGACAAAGAGAGATTGACTTGCTCAAAGTAAAAATTCAAGCCCTCGAGTTCCAATATTGAAGGATTCTATGAGCAAATTTTTTCCACCACTCGTCTGTCAGTTTGTTATACTGTTCTAGCTTGTCTTTTACTGTGATGCTGGAAGCTATGCCACTGGTCTTTCAAATATCAGTGTGGTCACCCATGGTGGACAGCTTTCAGTGGAGCTTCTGGACTAAGACTGACTGGGACAAAGGATGGGGTCATGTCTACTGGCCACTGAAAACCTTATGAATAGCAGTGAAATGTAGTCTGATATAGTGCTGGAAGATAAGCCCCTCAGGTCAGAAGGCACTCAAAATACAACTGGGGAAGAGCTGCCTCCTCAAACTAGAGTTGATCTTAATGATGTGGATGGAGTAAAGCTTTTGGGACCTCCATTTGCTGATGTGGCATGACTCAAAATGAAACAGCTGCAAACATCCATTAATAATTGGAACATGGAAAGTACAAAGTATGAATCTAGGGAAATTGGAAGTTGTCAAGAATGAAATGGATTGCATAAAGATTGATATCCCTATAGGCATTCGTGAGCTGAAATGGACTGGTATTAGTCATTTTGAATTAGACAATCATATGGTCTCCTTGGGAGCTCTGGTGGCATAGTGCTTAAGGCACTTGACTGCTAACCAGAAGGCTGGCGGTGCAAACCCACCAGCCACTCCTTGGAAGGAAAGTTGGGCAATCTACTTCCATAGTGATACTGCCTTGGAAACCCAACGAGGGGTCGATATGAGTTGGATCTGACTCAAAGGCAGTGAGTATGGTCTCCTATGACAGGAATGACAAATTGAAGAGGAATGGCATCACAGTCATTGTTAAAAAGAACATTTCAAGATCTATCCTGAAGTACAATGCTGTCAGTGATAAGATAATACACATACGCCTACAAGGAAGACCAATTACTACTACTATTATTAAAATTTACGCACTAACCACCAAAGCAAAAAATGAAGAAATTGAAGATTTTTACCAACTTTTGCAGTCTGATATTGACCAAATATGCAATCCAGTTGTATTGATGATTACTGGTGGTTAAAATGTGAAAGCTGGAAACAAAGAAGTAGCATCAGTAGTTGGAAAATATGGCCTTGGTGATAGAAATTACGCCAGAGATCGCATGATAGAATTTTGCAAGATCAATTATTTTTTTTTCAACAACATAAATGGCGGCCATACATGTGGACCTCACTGGATAGAATACACAGGAATCAAATCAATTACATCTGTGGAGAGAGGTGATGGAGAAGCTCAATATCATCAGTCAAAACAAGGCCAGGAGCTGTCTGTGGAACAGGCCATCAGTTGCTCATATGTAAGTTCTGGTTGAAGCTGAACAAAATTAAATCAAGTTCACGAGAGCCAAAATACGACCTTGATTATATCCCACCTGCATTTAAAGACCATCTGAAAAATAGATTTGATCCATTGAACACCAGTGATTGAAGACCAGACAAATTGTGGGATGACATCAAGAACATCATACATGAAAAAAGCAAAAGGTCATTAAAAAGACAGGAAAGGCAGACGAGACCAAAATGGATGTCAGAAGAGACTCTGAAACTTATTCTTTAATGGAGAGTAGTTAAGTGAATGGAAGAAATGATGAAGGAAAAGATCTGAAAGACGATTTCAAAGGGCACCTTGAGAAGACAAAGTAAAGTATTATAATGAAACGTGCAAAGACCTGGAGTTAGAAAATCAAAAGGGAAGTACACACTCAGTACTTCTTAAGCTGAAAGAACTGAAGAAAAAATTCAAGCCTCGAGTTTCAATATTGTAGGATTCTATGGGCAAAATATTGAAGAATTCAGGAAAATGGAAATGGAAGGAATGTATAGAGTTACTGCAATGAAAAAAGTTGGTTGACAGTCAACCATTTCAGAAGGTAGTATGGTCTTGGAGGAAGTACAGCAGGAATGCTCCTTAGAAATGAGAATGGTCAGATTTTGTCTCTCATACTTTGGTCATGTTGTCGTAAAGGACCAGTCCCTGGAGAAGGATATCATGCTTGGTAAAGTAGAGGGCCAGGGAAAAAGGGGAAGACCCTCAACAAGATGGATTGACACAGTGGCTGTGACGATGAGCTCAAGCCCAGCAGTGATTGTGAGGATGGCACAGGACCGGGCAGTGTTTCCTTCTGTTGGACATAGAGTTGCTATGAGTCAGAACCAACTCAACAGCACCTAACAACAACAAAGGCCCACAGCCACTATGAGAATCCAGATCTAGGTCAGTTTAATGGCAACATCCACTGGCAGCTGCACAGATCCTGTAGGCTGTGGAGTGGATATTGAGTAGGGCCATTTTCAGTGGTTTTGTTAGCTAAGAAGAAAATTGAGGCAAAGGAGGACCAAGAGTGACTTGACCAGAATCCGTGAAGGGTTTTGATAAGTTGAAACAAATTCCAAATGTCTCCCTAAATCTCTTTTTAAAAGACTGTTTCAATAGCAATAAGTAAATGGCATGGGACAGTGGGTAAAAACACCTTAGAAGTAATATTGCAATGAGAATATTGCAAGGGGAAAGCTGGATGGCTCATTCAGGCTGGTGGGCAGCCTCCTAGGTCCTAGTCAGGTCTCAGGAGATGCTAAGTGTTTTCATTCTCCAACTCTCATTTTTCAATTTCTCTTATCATTAAGTGAATTCTTTTCTCAGCACATTACCTCTGTTTCACTTGCTAGTATTGCTCAGGTTATAGTTTATCTTGTTATATTTATACCACTGTTAGTAGGTTTCTGCTCTATGTTTTCTTTTGTTCTCTATGGAGTTTTCTTTTTTTTTTTTCCTTTTATTTATTTATTTTTAAATTTTATTTTGATTTGGGTGAAGATTTACAGCGTAAATACACTTTTCATACAGCAGTTCACATAATATACTTTGTCTCATG